GGCTGGTGTTACTATATGAGGATATCTTTCTTGACATCGAAATGTTTTTTATTTTAAAGTTTGTTAACCTGTTGAAATTTCCTTTGCCAAGGTGAAAATATGGTGATTTAAAAATTTTTGTTTTTCACTTTATTTGTAGAGCATATTCCATAGCTCATCTGATTGATTCAAAATGGGATTGAGGGAGAGAAAGTAAGGACTGCAGGTGGGTGTCTAAAAGGGGGATAACAGGAGAAGTAGGAGGAAAAGAGATGGGGCAGATGGGGGCACTGGAAGATGAACAGACATTACTCGTACTCATAACAAACTCATTCTGGGGAAAAAAGTTATAAAATTCTTTGTTCCTACAACATAGTATGGATTAAGTAATTTGTGATCTGAATATCTGCAAAGGCAGACCTAATAGTTTCATTTTTCTTACAAGAATTACATAATGTAAGTGTATGCAAATATATACAGGCAAAAAGACCCCAAATATATGCCTCTCAGTGTGTGTGTATGTGTGTGTGTGTGTGTGCATGTGCACATGTCACATGCACGCGCACATCTTAAAGAAAAGAATCCAGGTACAAAGGGACTGTAATATAAGATTGATTAGCAGAACGGGGCCTCTTTCCTACCAAGTCAACACCAAGGACAAACTAGAGCTTATTATTATTATTATTATTATTTTTTTTTGTCTTTTGTCTTTTTTCCATGTCCGGCAACGGATCGCAACCCTCAGTGTTGCCCCCGTACCGGACCGGGGACCGGCAACGGGATCGCAAGCCTCGGTGTTGCTCCCGCGCCTCGCTCAGCCATGTGGGATCCGAACCCTCGGGCAGGAGCGCCGCCGCGCTTCCCAAGCGGCGCACTATCCAGTGCGCCACCGGGCCGGCCCAGAGCTTATTATTTTAAATCTTGGAGAAATTAAGCAGAGCATAGACTTGATAAAACATAGGTCATAGGCCGTGGTTAACTTTCCATTTCTTTCTTATGGACATCTAATCTTCTCTTGTTAGCCCTTATTCAGCTCATGAGAAAACAAAGCATAAAATGAACCTAAACAAGGCATGGAACCATCCCTGCCCAACTTAATGAGCAACTAACTAATCCAAAAAGAAAATAGCCATTACTTACACAGCCATAATGTAGACGCAACATGGCATGTAAATCAGTAACTCCTGTATTGCAAAACAGACAAATAGATTAATGCATGTTGCAAAGATGGGCGAAGAGATCGATTAGGTTACTGATTCAGACCATGAACTTTCTCTCAATATACTGCATTTAACTTTTAAATAAGGTTTTGGAGAACCTGTAACATTTTGCTCACTGACAGAGCTATATTTTACTAAGGGCAGAAATTGGCTAGTCTATAAAAATTAAATTATGCCCCTTTCACTGTATCTAGTCAAGAGGAAAAACTCTAATTACAAGATTGCACTGTCAAACAAATGCAAATTCACATTCTTTATGCCCTGGTTTAAAAATTCATACTGGAAGGGGGGCTTCTATTCTGAAATGAAAATCAATATTTGAAATATTTTGCGGAGTGCAGTGATAATCAAGAGCAAAAGAAATGTCATTATCAAGGGTGCTGGTAAATAGACACTAACTCGTTAAGTGCAGAGCTGGTGAGAACAAGTCATTTCTTATGCAAACATTTAAATATCAGTAAGGACAATGAAAGAAACTGAACCAAAGCTTCCCTTCCCCACAGCCCGTGCCTTATTATTCCAGAAATGACCAAAGGGAAAAAGAGCAGTGGAAAATAATCTCAAGGCCTAATAGGAATGCCACTTTGGGGAACAGGTAAAGGTTAATTTTAAACATGCTTCCCAGTTGAAAATTAAAAGTACCTCCCTCAAAATTCATAAGAGCTGAGTTGCTGACTTAATCCAGAAAGGAATAACTGAAGGCCCGGGCATACTGCGTTACTGATATTTTTTGGAAAGAGAATGCCTTTCATTACTGTTTAATATCAGACTAACTTAGTTCATTACAATTTCTTAGTCCATTTAAAGCCCTGGTTTTTCTATGCCTATAAAAAATGCCAGTCTATATAACAGTCAAACTTTAAAATTCCTACTTGTTGGTTCTCATTTTCTTTCCACATTTACTTTGTGGTCTGTGCACTCAGCCTGTTAGGTGAACTTGGTGGACATGAAAAATTGTCTAAATCCTTAGAATCTTGCTTGGATTATCTTTTCAGGCAAACCTGGTGGTATCTATTACTATATAAGGTGCTAGCCCAGGAAGAAGGCTTCAGGTGTCTGTTAGTAACAGATGGATGGTAGACGTGGACCAGACGTCTAACTTTTCTGGACCCTGTTCTCTTCCTTTATTAACATAAAAAAGTCTGTCCAGATCAGCATTCTCAACCTGGAGTACCACAGAATCAGTTGGAGAGCTTATAAAAAACCCACGGCCAGATATACCACCGCTATACACAATGTGCTTCTTCCAGGGGTGGGGGAGATCAGGCATGTGGAGCTGAACAAATTCCCAGGAAGATTCCGACATGCACCCTCAACTATAAGTCACTGGGCCCTTTCAGTTCTAATGTGCCAGGATTCTCATTGCGACATGTTACTGATCAAACTTAAAATTCTGACTTCAATTCCTAATAGTATCATTTAACAGGCATTACTTTTTCTCCAGAATGGAGAAATTGACCATGCAATAGAATTAAGTGCTGACTGGTTGTGGGGAAACAAGGGCCTCGAAAGAGGACGATGAGATTTCATGAGACACTGTGTGAAGGGCTGCAGAAGGAGGCAGATGTGTAGGGCACGCTCAACAGTTAGCGCTTATGACTGTGATGATTACACCACACGGTGGTCTTCTCACAGTCAAACTCGTAGGTTCGCTATCAACAGACTGGTCTCTAATAGTCACCTGTAGACAAAAGTGAAAGTGTCTTGGCACCACTAGCCATCAGACATCACTTTTCTGATGCAGAAAAAATGCACTTGGCTGGTTTCTACTGAATCCAGGCTCAGAGTGCCTTGCTTGCTTCCACGCGCACCTACCATCCTTCCCCTCCCAACTGGTTCTTTCTCTGAGCTCATCAACTGCTTCTTCTGACACTTTACAGTTGAGATTACTTGATTATTTTAGCCTCTCTTCACCTTTTGGTCTATCACCTATGGCCAAAGGAACCTGGTTTGGAGACAAGGTGCCTACCTTGACTGACCTAATAGAAAATGAGAAACCTCAGGCCAGGCACCTAAAGGCTCTCTGTGCTGAAGTTTCCCGTGGATAAAATGGGAGTTATAATGCCTGCTCTGTCTTTTTTACAGTGTGGTTTAAAGGAGAGAATGAAACAAGATGAAAAACAGCACTTGGAAAATGGAGTGTGTGGCATTCATTTTAGATACACTTTTAGAGAGGAAGAAATGTCTCTCAGAAAAAGGACCTCTTCTGACTCACATTTAGTTCACATCCTTTTCTCAACCATATCTCAGGTTATAAAACGTGATACTCAGGTAAGCAGTGGCCTCAAGGATTCTGAAGAAGTTCTTAATGTGTTCACAATACATTTCCATTTTGTCTGGCTCTAAACTACTGCCTGGAAGAAAGCTGCAAATACTTGAAAGTGACAATAAAGGGTTCACAGTGATTCTGACTGAAATCACGGCACTCTCTCTGGTAGAAGGGTAGTAAATTTTTTGCTCTGGCAAAATTCAGGAATGAAACACTAGTAGAAAAGAAACCACTTGTGAAAAGTATCCATATCGATCTTAGCTAAAGAATCATCACTAAGTTTTGTTTTGTCTGACTTTTAAAATAACCTGAGCCCCATATGCCAAAACAATGCTTGCTGCTTTTCTCGGGACAAATTACTCTTAAGAGCAATTAAGTCTCAGGCTTTGCAGAAGAGCAATTTTGATGGAAAGAATCCACACCTAAGCCAATAATGATCCATAAAGAAATCGCACACACATCATAACAATGACAACACAAAAACCAGCTAACATGTGCTCCCCAAACAACACTTTGGTTAGTAACAAGACATTTCCAGGCCCTTCTCTGAGAAGAAACTACTTTCCCAAGGTACTGGCTTTAAAACTAGAGTCCTTGCATTGACTTGCCATGGGTTAAGGGAATCACATAGCTGTTCTAATCACTTCCTGCTGCTCTGTGGGCAGCTCACTGAACTTGAGGAGCAGGGCTTTGGTTCATTCAGCATCACTCATCACATAATGCTATTTCCCATATTTTTAATATCCTTACAATGACAAAGTCTCTGTTTATGGGTTTGACCTTGGAATGGAGGCAACAGCTCTGAAAGTTTGGTTACACTTTGGGTGACTTTTATTTCTGGTAAGACTATGGCAGGGGGACCTGGGGAGTTCCATCTTAGTGAGAAGACTGGTCAGCTAGAGTGAGTGAAGGCCCTGTCCCCGCACGCCCTTTTCCCCTTGCGTAAGGTGCAGGCTCTCTCCTCAGCCAGCCAGCAGCTAAGCTGGAAGGGCTGGGAAAGACATTCCTTAGAAAGATCTTGGCAATCTGTGCCTGGAATTTGATGCATTATTTCTAAAATTAAATAAAGATCCTGTAGTGTTCTTCAAAGAAATATGGTGTGGCTCTATGACAAAACACATTTTTCAAGCTCTGACCTCTGGGAACTTCAACTAGCTCCATATTTCAGGCTGACATTGCTTACAGGCTACTGTCTAGTTGCCCAGGCTTGGACCCCTTATCCATATATTTTCCAGGCACGACCAGCTTTTAGCATTGGGAGGTGAGGCGAGTAAATAAAAAGAGACGAGCCGCTAATTTAAAAGCACTTCCCCTCCCAAGTCTCTTGGGGAGAAGCCCTGGTAATTAACTCTAATGAGATTAAAGTAACTTGGAACTGTTCATTTTCACAGCACTGTAAAAGTAAATCTGCGATAACCTGTATTTTTTTTGCATGAAATCAAAGCCAGTCCCTTTTCCTGTAATTGAATGGCCCCCTCACTTCCACCCCCGCCCGGGCTGGGGAGAAGAAGGGGACAGCGCCGGGCTCTTACCCGCACTTTGCTCCATCACTTCTTTCTGACACATGTCTTGAACGTTCACCGTGCAGTTCACGATGAACTCGGGGGAGGAGCAGTCGTTGTTCAGCTGGAATTCTTCACACTGATAGCATTGGATTTGCAGGGCAAAACCTACAGGACATACGCAGTCAGGTTGAGATCTGGCCCCCCAGAGAGCGCACCCCCTAAATCACGACCATCGCCCGCCCCGGAGAGCCGCCGCTAGCTCCCCGCCACGGGGATGCTTGGCGCTCTGCATGCCGGGGTCTCCAAGTCGGGCCGGATGTGGCTGAAGCCGGCAGGCGGCGGCGCATGTACCAAGGGTTCTGCAAGTGGAATGCTGCCCGTGACCCCTGGACACAAAGAGCCCATCCAACACCACCCAGGCCTTTCCCCAAGAAGTTGAAAAGAAGGGCGTGGGGTCCAATCAAAGCACATTCTAATATGTGGCCCGACATTACCAACAAGAGATTCTGCAGAGGACAAAACCTTGCTCACTCTGCAAATTGGTGCTTCTCTACTTGGCTCAAAGCAGGAAAAAATGATGGTTCACATCTAAAGGTATAACCCCGAGAGCGAAGTAGCTCTAGAGACGTGCCTCAGCTTCAGTCTATGCCAAAGGATTTGCCTAATTGCTAATTGGTTACAAATTACTTAATTACTATTTTGGCACCATTCATGATTGCATTCACAGACGCCTTTTCAGTTTTATTTATTTAATTTCTGAAGTCAGCGTTCCTGTGCTGTGGCTCCAAGGCTGCCTGCGCGACCACCCAGGAGCGCCGGAGTAGGCGCCGGACGCCAAGTGCTGTTGCGCCCCAAGTCCCCGGCTCCGGGTCGGCCGCCCTTCACCAGGACCGTACCCGCGGCGGCGCGGGTGGCCGCAGGGGTAGGAGGGGCCGTGTGTGTGTGTGCACGCGCGCGCGCATCCCGGACCGCGACACCGCAGCCCTTTCTCCCCGGGCCCCGGCTTTCAGAGCAACCTTTGGCTACGGTCCGCGGTCGGGATCCCAGCTCTTTACGGCTCAGTCCGGAACCGGTAGGCGAACTGAAGAGAGGAAGCGAGACATTTGCGCCTCTTGTCGCTTCATTCTGGTTGCTTTCTTCGGGTCTACGAGCTCCTGTCTAGAGCTAACTGCCCGCGCTCCCCGGGCCCCGGGGCGCCCCCTCCCAGCTCCACGTCGATCGCGCTCTGAGCGCAGCAACCCAGCGCGGGCGCGCCCCGGCCGCAGGCTGCCCAGCACGCAGCTCACCTGGCGGCGGCGCCACTCCCACGGGTTGCCAGAGACGCCAGGCAACTTGGCAGGGTTAGGGGGGTTGTAGCCTCCTCTCCCTCGCCACGGCCCCAGCACGACCCTCTCTCCTTCCCAGCCCAGCTTCTCCCGACGGTGCCGACCGAGCAGCTACAGCCGGGAGTCCTGCAAATCCGCCGCTCGCCGCTCTCCTGCAGCTCGGGACTTGACGCCTATGGGCACCCGTCGCCCCGGCCAGACTCCCGCCAGGCAGCCCCTGCGCAGCGCCTGGCCCGAGGCGGGCTCCCTGGGATCGAAGGAGCCGGCAAGCAGATGGGGTGTGCGCGCCCGGCCGGGCTGCTGCTGGCCTCTTCGTCTTACCTGGAAGCAAGAACAATCCGCAAAAAGTTGCCGCGATGCCGAGGACCCACATTCTCCCGGAGCCGCGGGGCCGAGAGCGGGCAGGCGGCGCATCAGAAGCGGCGACCGTAGCGGAGGCTGCCCGGGCCGCGGCGGCTGTGGCTGCCGAGGCTGCTGGGGC